GTCAGGGCTGCGTGTGCAAAGGATCAGGAGCGAGAGGTCAGGGATGCGGGTGCACAGGGGCAGGGGCGGGGGGTCAGGGCTGCGTGTGCAAAGGAGCGTGTGCACGGGAACAGATGTGGCTGTTTGTCCTCAGGCTCCTCGGACTCCTCATCGACCAGGAATACCACTGGCTCCTCAGTTGCTCCAGTGGCTCTCCAGCTGGCCAGTCTCTCTCTATTTCCTCCCTCTTGGCTCCTCCCTTCCCTGTCTTTCTCTTCCTTTTAGAGGAAAAATCACCAGTTCTTGTCTTGTCCTTCTCCTTTTTCTGCAGCATTGATGCTTATGGCTCAATAAACATTTCTTGATATTTTCTGCATAGTTTAATAAAAGTTAAAGTTTTGTGCGTGGTTTTCTTAAGTATTGCTGTACACTGGTGACAGCCCCATTCCGCTGCTGCCGTCGGCTCATCAGGCTAGAGAAACGCACGATTCCATGGGAGGAAAGTCCAGGGTGAGCTTGGGGTGAGGCTCCTTTACCTCTGTGTGATGTTTTGCCCCTTGCCTCTTTCTCCAGGCAGCCAACATGCCTGATTCTGAGCTGTTTGAGCTGATCTCTGAGAACCGTTCCATGTCTCGGAAGCTGGAAGATTATGGGGAGCAGAAGTCGACGTCCATCAGCACGGCCAAGCGCCTGGCCGAGTTCCTGGGAGATCAGATGGTGAAAGACGCAGGACTGAGCTGCCGCTACATCATTTCCCGGAAGCCAGAGGGGTCTCCGGTCACAGAGAGGTAGGGGTTTCCAGGGTTAAGGAAGCAATTCCTTAAGGACTTGGATTCTCATGTTGGAAACCTGTGTCTTTTGTGGAACCTCTGTCCCTCCATAGAGAGGTGAGCTCCTTAAAAAGAACAGGAACAGCCAAGTGTTAGAAGAGGGAGGGACTTGGCCTCTGACCCCCTGGAGATCAGATGACAGGAAGGCTTGCTGGGGCACTGGCAGGACCCCTGAGAGGGCGTGGTAAGCCCGTCCACCTGGAGCCCCAGGGAACCTGGGGCTTAGGTTCTTGGGAGGCCAGACCGAAAGCACCCTCTCAGGCATAGAGGTATGGGAGTGTCTTGGAGGGTCAGCTATGATGGGCCCCATCACAAGGTCCAGTTCAGGTTTAGGACAGGGTGCCACATCACTCGCATCCTCAAGGAGACTGATGCGGCCCTGGCTGGAGAGGTCACAGTGGCATGCCTCACAGAATGCTCCAGCACCTAAGGCTCCATTGCACTGAGGGGGCCAAGTTTCCCAACTCCCTTTATGGCCAGAAGGAAATGTCCTCTAGCTTTTGGAACATGACAAAGGCAACAGCAAAGGATTCCATCAGATAGCAGTGTCCAGTCCCGACTGTGGAAACTTCAGGGTCAGCAGGGCAGTTCTGTCACCCAGTGCCATTGGACCATTTGAGTTGTGCAAAGACTGTGTGAATGAAACAGGAAAATACAGAGTATTGACAGCCTGGTTTTTCCTGTTGTTGGTGCATAAGATGAAAGAAAGGACTCACTCTGCCTGTCATCCCATGACCATGGCTGAGTTTTCCTGCCAAGAGCTCGGGGACTAGAAATGGCTCCATGGGCAAGTCTTGAGAACAGGTGGGCAGACACGGGAAAATGCTAAGCACCATCAAGAGAAACTGTTTTGAAGACCGTCTTGGCAGTGCATCCATGACACTTTGGTAATGGAGCTGGCTGCTCCTCCCACAACAAGGTGTGTCTTCTCCCCTTGCCCAGAATCTGGATGGTCCTATGACTTGCTATGACCAATGGCATGTGGCAGGAGTGACATGTGACTGCTGAACTCTGGTTGTAAGAGGACTTGTGTTCTGCTCTTGGCCTCTTTTTTTTTTTAATTTTTTTTTTAAATTTTATTTTTTCCCTCCAAAGCCCCAGTAGATGGCCGTATGTCATAGCTGCACATCCTTCTAGTTGCTGTATGTGGGACGCGGCCTCAGCATGGCCGGAGAAGCGGTGCGTCCGTGCACGCCCGGGATCCGAACCCGGGCCGCCAGCAGCGGAGCCCGCGCACTTAACCGCTAAGCCACGGGGCCGGCCTGCTCTTGGCCTCTTGCTGCCTGGTGTGGCGAAGAGGTCGTGTGCAGAGAGAGGCCCAGGCCATGGAGCCTGAGAGGTCGTGAGCAGAGAGAGGCCTAGCTGACAACAACTGCCACACCTACAATGGAGGCCACTGCAGCTACACGAATTCCCCCAGGCGAGACCACTCACATTACAGACTTACAAGCAAAAAAATGGTTATTGTTTCAGTCTACTGAGTTTTGGGGTGGTTTGTAATACAGCAGTAGATAACTGATAAAGATAGAAACTTCAATAATCAGTGTTCTAACCTATGCTAGAAAGGCCTGGAGGGAAAAGAAAATGAATGAGACACAGTGAATATCTTCTTAAAAAGAAATCCCCAGAGACATAACAAAAGGAGAAGGAATTTGATATAAGGCTAAAATAGATTATATACAGAATAAAATAAAGAATTTCTATGTATCAATAAGAAAAAGACAAACATCCTAAAGAAGAAGTAGGCAACAGATATGAACAGCAGTTCACAAATGAAGAAAAATGATGGACAGTACATGCAAAGATGTTCAAACTACAGTAATCAGGAAATGCATAATTTAAAAACACCCATTGGTTGGAAATAGTCTGATGAAACCAGTTGTTGGTAACCACATAGACCAGCACTCACCGTGTAGACAGGAGTGTGGATGAGTCACTTTGGAGAGAAACCAGCAGTGCATGAAGTAGGAGATGCCTGATTCACCCCACAGTTGAGCACTTCTGGGGACATGCCTTGCATTACCACCGCATGTGTTTACATTGTGTTTAATAGCAAAATTGGGAATACCATGAGTGTCCATCAACCAGGAAATGGGTAAATGTATTTTTTTATGCAGTGAAATGCGATACAGGCTTTGGAATGATTGAATCACAGCTGCATGTTACAACCCTGATAGAGCTCAAAAACTGTTGAACAAAAACAGCAAGTTGCAGGATGATATATACAGTATACTTTCATCTGTGTAGAGTTTACAAACATGGAAGATACTCTTATTTTTTCATGGGTACATACAAATAGGAGTAGTATAAAAGCTTGCCTGGGATTGATAAACACCACAATAAGGATTGTGTTTACTTCTGTATGAGGAGGGTCAGGAGAGCTGCACAGGGGGCTCCATCCTTGTCTTTATTTTTTCACATGTGAAGTAAAAGTGACAAGCCTTGAAGTTTGATAGGGCTAGGTGTGGCTGCCCAGGTGGGTGCACACACAAGTGTGTCCTTTCTAAGTTTCTTTATGCTTATAATATTTTATAATAACAAATATTTCCTCCAATGAATCGAAGAGGGGCCCTGTTGCTTTGCGAGTGACATATTCTTTCAGGAAAGCAGATAGACTCTTCCTGTATTTTACCCAACAAATAACACCTTAAGAATGTTTAATTATATGCATGCACATGAATATATAACTTACGTAAGGACATTTGTAAACCAGCTCTGTTAACAGTGGCTGAACACAACAGACCAAATGGCCAACGGTGGGGGGATTGTGCGTTAAACCATGACATTTTAATAAAATGAAGTATTATTTAGTTATTAAATATGATAAGCATTAGATATAAGGTATAGTTTATACAAAATACCAACATGAAATGAAAACATAGGTTGCAACCTAGGCTGTAAGTCCTATTTCCACATAAAATACATGTACACCTGATGAGCGTTGTGATGGGATTTAGGGAGATTTTCACGTTTGTGAGTTTTATGTCTCTTCTCGCCCAGGGCCATCCCACTTGCCATTTTCCAGGCAGAGCCCACGGTGAGGAAGCACTTTCTCCGGAAATGGCTTAAGAGTTCTTCCCTTCAAGACTTTGATATTCGGACGGTGCGTGCTGATGTTTTTCTGCTCCTAGAAGTTTAGGAGAGCTAGACAGAGCAGAGTGTCCCTCACTTGGGTCACTATTTTGTCTGAAGTCTTCACTTTTGACTTCCTCCTTTCTGATATGTGATGGGTGAGGAAATGGTTACACTTTAGGGAAAAACTAGAAAAGCCAGAGGCAGGGAGGCCCTTTGTTCTCTTGGATAGACTAAGGCCAAGGGTTCTGGCTCACGGTTCTAGTGCTGGCTCGGCCACCTACTTGCTCTGATCTAGAGAGTCGTTTAAGCTCTCTACCTCAGTTTCCTCCTCTGTGAAATGGGCACCTTTCATCATAGAATTTCTAAAAGGATTAAATAAGACACATGAAGCATTCAGTACAGTGCTCGGCATCGAGTGGAGCGTAGTGCTGCTGCTTTTCTCTTATGCACCCCTGCTGTTCGTTTCCTGCACACTCAGATTCTGGATTGGGACTACTACATCGAGCGGCTAGGAAGTGCCATACAGAAGATCATCACGATTCCTGCAGCTCTGCAGCAGGTGAGGTTGAGAGCCAGTGGAAACAGGGCCAGAGTGGCTTCAAAGCCTCAGAAACTTGGTCCTGGCCCCAACTAGCAGAGTCAGACAAGTGATCAGTGTCACCTTCGTGTAGGTGAAGAACCCAGTGCCACGTGTCAAACACCCCGACTGGCTGCACAAAAAACTGTTGGAGAAGAATGACGTCTACAAGCAGAAGAAAATCAGTGAGCTCTTCGTCCTTGAGGGCAAGAGACAGGTAATGGGGCCTGGCCAGGACAATGGAGGCCACGACGGTCGGGGCTGGGCAGGGTCCCGAGGGCACCCAGAGCGCCAGAGTCCCCATGCTGCTGTCCTGATTTTGGATGCTTCCATTGAACCATCTAGAATTTTTTTTCTTTCTTTCTAAAAATGTACTCCTTGGTACTTTACTCTTTAATTCTTCCCAGTGGTGTTCTTTTGTGATAGGAAACACATTGTGCTTCATCAGTTAAGGGTGAAAAACTATCTTCTTATATGTAAATATAGGGTGTACTAATTAGACTACTAATTAAACTTGGAATGAATCACTGTACCTTGAGACTTCAGTTTTCTAAACTAAAATAAAAATCTATTAGAAACACTAAAAAAAAAATGCTGAAGACAGTATAATGAAAGGCATAGCTAAAATCAGAAGAGCAAAAAGAAAATTCTCAGGTGCTGAAAATGGAAAATGAGCTTTAGACCAGAGCAAAATACAAACTTTCCTACTAAAAACCAGATTCTCAAATTGGATTTTTAAAATCTAACTTTGTCTTATTTATAAGAGCTATACATAAAAGATAAGGGCACAGAAAGATTAAAAAGATGAATCTTTTAATCTTTTATATACCAGGTGAATGTTAACCAGGTAAATGTTAACCAAAACGAAGCTGATGTAGCTAAATTAATGCCAGAGAAAATAAACTTTAAGCCAAAAAATATTAGTAGGGATAAGGATGGTTATTAAATAATACTGAAAGTCACAATTCACTAGAAATATATAATAATTCTAGTAGTTTAGCTTCCAATTAAATAATGTAAAAATTTACCTAATTAGAAGAAATTGACATCCAGTCAGTTTGGGAGATTTTAACACATCTTCTCAATTGAGCAGATCAAAAACTAGTAAAAATATGTAAGGTTGGAGTGGCACAACTAACTAGATTTAGGAACTATATTTAGTGAAGAAATATAACTTGCACTCAGTAATTAGAGAATACACATTCTTTTCAAGAACACACAAAATAATGACTGTACATACGCCGTGAAGTAAGTTGTGACAGATTCCAAATAATTTATATATAGACTATGTTGTTTGGAAATTAAAAAAGAAAAAACATTTATAAATAATTCATACATCAAAGAAGTCAAAAATGGAAATTAGATACATTAATGAAAATACTATCAAAATTTGTAGTATACAGCTAAAGAGTAATTATATGCATATTATCTATCTAAATGCATATAATAGAAAAGAAAAACAAATAGAAAATTAAATTAGCTTCCAATGGAAGAATTAGAGAACAACAGAGTAAACCCAGGAAGTAGAATGAAAGGAATGAATGAAACAGATAGTAAACCAAACCTTGACCTTTGAAAAGACTTAGGAAATAGGCAAATCTTTGTCAAGATAGATATTTTGGGTTTTATTTTAATGAAAACAGACATAATTGCAGATATAGTAAAGCCTAAAAAATGAAAATTACCTTTCTCTGCTAAACAGTTGTAAAACTCAGATGGAATGGGTAGTATCCTAGAAGAACTATTCAAGTGGACCTAAGAAGAGGGCCTGGTGGCGCAAGCGGTTAAGTGCGCGTGCTCTGCTGTGGCGGCCCGGGGTTCACCAGTTCAGAACCCTGGGCGCACACCGACGCACTGCTTGTAGAGTCACGTTGTGGCGGAGTCACATATAAAGTACAGGAAGATGGGCACGGATGTCAGCTCAGGGCCAGTCTTCCTCAGAAAAAAGAGGAGGATTGGCATCAAATGTTAGCTCGGGGCTGATCTTTCTCACAAGAAAAAACAAACAAACAAACAAAAAAACAAATTGACCTAAGAAGAAATAGAAAACCTGAGTAGAACTTTAGCAGTTAAAAAATTGGATCATAGTTAAAAAGAAACAAACACTGGACCCAAATGGTATTTCAGAGGAATTTTACCCAACATTGTAAACAAATTATTTCAGAGAATAAAAAAAGAGGAGAAGGCTCCTTAGCTCTTTTGGTACCCTTGATAACAAACTGATAGGGCAGGATAAGAAAGGAAAGTCAGGCCATTGTCAGTTAGGAACAATAGATACAAAAATAGCCACAAACTAAATTCTGCAGAGTATAAAAACAGTAACATTGTGTCCAAGTAGGATTTATGCAAAGAATGGCAGGTGTTGTTTAACTTTAGAAATCTGCTAATTTACTTAATCTTAGGAGAAATCTGTTAATTTATTATTAAAGGAGAAGACTTAGAGGATCATCTCAAATAGATACAGAAAGAACATTTGATAAACTTTAATGTCTGTTCACGATAAAACTTTGAGCAGTTAAAATCAGAAAAGATGAGATGCTTCTCTAATAAAGTCTACCAAAACCCAATAGCAAACCTTATACTTAATGGCAAAACATTAGAAGCATTAAAGTAAGAAACAAGAAATGGGTGCTTATTACCACCACTTGTATTCAGAATTGTTTGGAGGTCCTAGCCAGCATAATTAAACAAGAAAAACAAGTTAAATTTTAAGGATTGAAAGGGAGATGTAAAACTCGTCATTTGCAGGTAATATAATTGTTAACACATAAAATGTAAGGAAATCCAGAAATTGTTTTAACTAATAAGACATTTCAACAAGACTATTAAGATACAAAGCTAATATATAAAAATCTATAGCTTTCTTTTTTACTAAAGACAATTAGAAAATATTTTGTGAAAGATACCATTTATAATAACAAGTAACATACCAGGGAATAAATCCATGGTAACAAAATGTGTGCAAGACTTGTATGGAAAGAAATTATACAACTTTATTGAAGCATATAAAAATTCACCTAAATAAGTAGAGATATATGCCGTGTTCATGGATGGAAGGAATATGACAGTTTGCTCCAAGTTAATCCGTAAAATTCAACATAATTCCAATTAAAATATCTGCAAAAAATTTTTGATGAAACTTGCCAAGTTAATCCTAAAATTCATATGATGAGCAAGATGAAGGATAACCAAAATAATTTTGAAGAATAAGGAGGTGAAATTTATCTTAGTATATAACAGGACTCACTGTAAATCTTTTTTTTTTTTTTTTTTTTTTTTTT